ACACACACACGGTCCCCTCACCTTCAGCACCTGCTCCAGGCTCTCCAGCTTGCTCTGCAGGCCCTGGCTCTTGAGAAGGGCCAAGTCCCTCTCCTGTGTCACCCCCCAGGAGCTGGCCCCTCAGCTCTGCATTCTCCCACTCCACCTGGAAGGCCAGAGTGGCAGGGAGCCAGGTGTGTGAGCCTCATCCCCTCAGCATCCTCATGGGGGTGGGGCGAGGGTGTGGGGGAGTAGCAGGCTTCATACTCTAGCCCAGATCGGGGTGGGGTGGTGGAGGGGACAGCCCCTTGCCTGGGGCCCAGGACGGGAGCAGGAGCCCAGCCCCGCACCTGGGCAGAGCTGCTACCTGCTGCTTCTCCGTGGCTCTCCCACTGAGCCGAGAGTTCTCCTCCACGAGGCGGGCATTCTCAGTCTGGGCTTCCCTCAGCTGCAGTTCCTGAGAGACCAGAGGACACTGGGGAGGGTCCCAGCATCCACACTCCTCCTCTCCCCTACACAGAGGACCCTGCCCTCCCCAACCTGGAACCTGCATCAGCCTGGAAAGGAGAGCCCCGCACAAGGGAGGGATGGCGTGCTCTCAGGGCAGGAGGGAAGGCAGCAGAGCCGAGACGGAGCCCACCACCCAGCTGGTCCGATGGAGGGAAGGGAGGAGCTGGCCTCCAGGAGGCCCTCAAGAGCTCACCAGCTCCTCACATCGCCTCTGCTTTTTCCGGGCTTCCTGCTCCAGGCTCTCGCATTTCTTCCGCTTCTTGCTGAGCTCGGATTCCTGTGGGGTCAGAATGGAGCTCCTCGTGTGGGAAGGCAGATCTACCCACAACAGGTCTTCTCCACCCTTGACCTGGGACTTACCAGCTGCTGCACCCTCTGCTGTTTCTCTGGGTCCCCTAGGACCACGGGTGGGTTTTCCACATCCTCCTGGGGCGTGGCCTGGAAATGGCCAGAGGCAGAAGGCTGGCACCTGAGAACAGGGCCTTAGGGCAGTCTGCCCCCAGCCCAGCCTGTCTGAGGGGGGTTCCCAAGCACCTCACAGTCAGCAAAGAGATCCCCGCCCACTCCCTCCCATCAGACACCCCTGTGTCCTCTAAACAACGTAGTTTTTTGAGATCCTGAGATCCACGCTTGCCCTGGGATATGGGTCCCTTATCCAGGCCAAAGCTTTCCCTTTTTAGCTTCCAGTGCTGCTCTGCACTCAATACTGTCCCGGGTGTCCTTCAGTGACTGGCAGAGAACTAGGCAGCTGTCTGAGCCCCCAGGGATGCAGCGTCCCCAGAGCTAGGGGTCATGGATCCACCAAATCTGGGCTTGGCGGAGAGCCCTGCAGACCTGGCCACACCCTCCTCCCAGCTTCCCTCAAGCCCACCCTCTCGCATGTCCCAGTTATCCGTGCAAACTCTCTGGGAGGACAGGTCTTCATGGGTCGATGCATTTCCCTCCCTGGACCAGGCAGAGAGACAAAATCTGAGCAAGAAGCATCCTGAGGCCTGGATCGCTATGAAGTCTCTTCTCCCTCCCTCTTCCCAGAAGGAGGTAGACCTGGGTGCTGCCCAGTACAGACAATGGAGAGGAGCCAGACCTCTAAGTTCTGGGGGGTCCGGGCTGGGGTCCCCCAACCCTGGGGGGCAGGGGCCGCCTAAGCCCGGCGCCCAGCGAGGGTCGCCCATACCTGGAGCCCAGACGGACACACGCCGCCCGCGGGTAGCCGGGCCGGGCCTGGAGGA